TGCCTCCCCAAGGAGTGAGAGGGATGAGGCGGACGTGGGTGGGGGCACAGAGCCCACCCAGGTGCCTCACTGGCCACGCTGAGGACAGAGTGCCTCGGGGGTGGGACTGGAGGGCAAGTGCGTGGTGTAGCACTGCTGGCTGGTGGGCCGCTGGGCTGGGCCGGGCAGGGCTCAGGGAGGAGCGGGAGGGCAAGCCAAGGCCAGGCTGTCCGGTCTGCACCCTGGTCTCTATCCAGACTCGGGTCTGTGGCCGGAGCCGGACAGATGCCAGGCCCGGAAGAGCAGAGGGAAGGACACAAGTCCTCTACGCTTGGATCTCTCTGGGAAGCCCCATCGGGAGCATCTCGCATTATCCAGATGTGTTACAGAGGTCCACCAAACGGGCCAGCCTGTGGCATGGCGGTTAAGGCGCTGGATCCCACGTGGCTGACAGCACAGCTCGAGTCTTAGACCCGGAGGCTTGAAAAGCATGCCGAGTGCACATGCATGCATGCACACAACCCAGAGAGGAGGATGGAGAAGGGACTGTGGCGGGGTCAGCCCTAGTGTGCTTTATCCCACTCTCTCCCCACAGCGAGCACATGTACCCTATGGAAACCAAAACCATGAAAACAAGGAAGTGTGAGCCACACGGTCCCAGCTCAGAGAGCTGAGGGGTGAGCGTGGAGACGGGGCTGGTGGGCGCCGGGCTCCTGACTTCGGGAGGCAGAGCTGACAGGCCAGGCAGGACTGGAAAGCCCACAGACCAGCCCGGCTCGGTGGAGCCCCCGCCGACTCCCCCCATGCATACCCTCTCTCTGAGAGCTGTGTGAGGCAGGACCTGGGGGGGGGCCTGGGACCTCCCCTTGGGTGTAGGGACAGGCAGGGAATTGTCACGACCTTCTCCATCCAGCCTGGGAGGAGTGCACGGGAGTGCACGTGTTACCTCAGAGCCATGCAGAGTGGACTCCAGAGCATGGCTGGACTATCCCTGACTCCTGCCCCTCAGCCTGGTGGAGCTGTGTGCACCTCCTGGGGGACTGGCAGTGATGTGACCAGACCTTTGGTGGGGCCCAAGCCCACACGCAGTTACCAGGCAGAGGACGCCATGGAGGAACAGGGGAGGGGGCTGCCTGTGAGGGCAAGAGGCTCCAGCTCCCACCTGACTCCCTGATGGAGGTTGAGCCGCCCAGCGCGTGGGGAAAGTGAGGACGCGGCTGCCCAGGGTCACAGTGAGACGGCAGGGCCTGGGGCAGGCCGCCCTGAGACCTGGCCTTCTGGGCAAGGCCAGGACCTGGGTAAGGGGCAGAGGAGAGCTGTGGGCAGCCTGCTCTGGCTCTGGATATGCCAGCAAGCCACCACGTGGCTCTGGAACCTATCAGCACCCAGCCACACGCGTGGGGGACCCCAGGTTGTGTGGGTGGCACACGGAACAGATGACCGGAGGAGGAAGCAAGGCGGGGGCTGGGATGGAGCGAGGACCACTGCCTGCCAGAGCTGCCTTGCGAGTCTCAACATCCCCTCTCCTGATGCCACACGACAGCGCACAGCTCTCCCAGGGGTCCTCTCTCTGTCACCCTCCACCTGACACCTCGGGGACCCAGCTTGCATGGAGAGAGTGAGAGCCTGCGACAGAATCCTTGGGGGCGGAGAGGACCTTGGCCAGGCCAGGAGGCAGCAGCCGGTCACCCACACCAGGAGGGGTCTTTCCTTGGCCAGGCCCCCCTTGCTCTTGGGTCCTGCCTTCCCAACCAGAAGCATTCTTTAGAAACCTGCAGCTCTGACACTGCAGGTGCTAGACTGAGGAGAGAAACGCCGTGCTCCTCTCTCCTCTGGATCCTGAGATCCCAGAAACGGTGCTGCCTCTCCCAGGGAGGACTCTAGGACAGCACCAGCAGGGCCATCCTGCCTCATGTGGCCCCTGCCCACTCTGGCTGTAGCCAGAGCAGCTCGGAGGAGCTGCTGGGGAGTGGGCTGGAAGCCTTCCGTGTGTCTAAAGGCTTTGTGCCTCGCCCCTGCACTGCAGCCTGCTCCCAGCCACTCCCGGCGCACTTCCTCCCAGGGCCTTCCCAGGCTCCCCGGCTTCCTCCACAGCCGCAAAGGATCCTCAGGTCTGATCACACACCACACACAGCTTTGCACGATGGCCCAGGCCGCCACGGGACTGGGAGCTCGAGGGCAGGTGCTGCCTGGGGCCCCGGCGCACGGTGTGTTAGCTACTGCAAAGCCCAGGCCCATCTTCCACTCCCAGGGCCTTCCCTGGGCCTCCGCGTGGCGGGCGGGTGCCGGAAAGCCTGGGTGTTCTCTCCACAGGCCGCAGCAGCCCATCGTGCTGTGCAGTGGAACGGAGTGGCTCACATCAGGGGTGGGATTTACCGAGTCACACCTCTGCCCTCAGCCACCTCTCAGCAAGCGCACCTGCACCAGCGATAGGGCCCAGTGTCCCACCAGGAGGGCTCTCGAAGGGGCCGACACCAAGGGTGGAAGGAGAGGCACTTCCGACAGAGTTGGGCGTGAGCACAGGGCTCAGTGCACTGCGGGGTTTGCAGAGCCTCGTGGGCCAGCTCTGCAGGTGACGGGGCTTTGGGCAGGGGAGCGAGACCACCATCCCTGGAGGCCGAGTGGCAGGTGAGTCTGTGGGTGCAGTGAGAACAGTGCAAAGCCCTGGGGGGCATGGCAGGAGTGGCGTCCTGGCGGGTGGCCTGGCCTGGTGCACAGGTGCGTGTGGTGATACTGAGAAAGGAGCAGGGAGCTCGAGAAGGGACACGTGGGAAGGGACACAGAGAGTCAGCCACGTCGACAAGGGGCTCCTCTTGAACTGGACTCATGGCTGGGCCTGGTCTGAGGCCCGGGGGTGGCCGGGGTCCCCCTTGCGGCCCAGAGACTCACCCGCCGATGATCTCCTTGGTCTCCGCCCTGATGAAGTGCTCCTTCTCGGGGGTCAGGATGCACAGGGAGAACTTCTGACCCGTGCGGCCCTCCCCGTCCACCACGTCTGTGCACTGGTTCATGTTGATGGTACCCTGCGGGAGCGTCGTAGGCTGCAAGGAGGAGACAGGCGGGCTCACTGGGAGGCAACGAGGGAGCGAGGGAAGGAGCCCCGGTGCACCTGCCCTAGCCCTGGCCCTGCGGCTCCTCTACCTTCCCCAGAGACCCTTGCAGGCCTGGCTTCAGATGTGGAGGATGGCATGCCGGCGCGCAGGGCAGCACAGAAAGGAGCGGCGCAGCGGGGCCAGCTGGGGCCTGAGGCAGCCAAAGCCCCGAGAGTGGCGAGGAGGCAGCTCCGAAGCAGCATGGTTACTGTCAACAGCACAGGGGCTGGACAGAGGCCGCGTTCTCAGGAGCAGGCTGGGGCTGGGGCCGGGGCCAGGACGCCCGAGCCAGGCACACGGCGAGCCCTGCAGAGGCTGCCTATCCAGCTCTGGCACAACAAACAGGAACTTTCTCCCCGGCAGCTAAATCTGTTAGACACTGAAATTAGAGAGAGCAAACCAAACACAGGAGAGGTAGGCGTTAGAGGTTCCCACGGAAGGACCTGCTCAAGAGGATTAGTTAGCCCACACGTCCTCTGCCTTGCTCCCCCAACCTGAGGATGCTTGGGAAGGGAGTCAGGTTGCCAAGGCGACCACACCAGGGCTGGCTCCACGCTGACTGATGGGGAGAATAGAGAAGGCTGCCTGGGCTGCCAGTGGGAGCTCCAGGAGGTGCTTCCCACGGCCCAGCCTCCAGTCCAGGCCACCTGCTCTCCCACGAGCACCCCCTTCCGCACCTGCCGCACAGGTTAGGCTACGCTCCCAGATCCCTCCAGCTGGAGCGCTAGTGACCTTCCTGTAGTTCCCACCAGGCCGACCAGCTAGCCTCCCACTGGCCACCACCTGTCAGCACTCCCTGCTGCCCAGGTCAGAAGTCAGGGAGGTCCTGCCACATAGCCCATGGCCCCAGGGGCGGGGAGGCACAGCTCCAGGGTCAGGAAGCTTTTCCCGGTGGGACCTTTGGGCTTGGCTGTCTCCTGTGGGTGCAGCTCAGAATGGGAGTGGCATGGCAGGATGGCCGAGAGGCTAGGCTCCCAGAGGCCTCTGACTTCCGGTAGGAAAAGAACACACCCTTGGCTATGTGTTCGGTGCGTCCTGCCCCAGTGCTGATCCTGGGAGGGCTCAAGGAGCCGCACTGGACAGAGTCCTCGAAGAGGACCCTGGTGGGGATGTCCTACAACCTAGGGAGGGACTTCCTTGGGCAAGGGGGTGGCCTTGGATCCCAGTCACTGATACTTCTTGGGGGCCCACCATGAGTGCTATTCCCAGAGCACGCAGGACAGGCCCTCAGCCCCCCACAGGCCCTAACCTTCCAGGCACTCCCCTGCACTCCTTTATTCTCTTCTACAGAAGTTCTGATCCTGGCCTGCTCCAGCCAGCATCACGCAGGACCCTGGCATAGACAAGCTTAGGGCCACTCCTGCCCTGCTCTGGGAGCCACACTCCCCAGGCTGACGTGCAGGCTCCCCGGGCCCTGGACCAGGCGCAGCGTCTTGGCGGACCTCCTGCTGTGTGAAACTAGGGCCCCAGGGCCGTGGGCCTCTGTGTGGTCCAGCTGACATCACACTGTACCACGCAGTTGCCCGTGGACACGTTAGTGAGCCAGGAGCACCATGGGATGGTGGAGGGGCTCCCCCAGCCCTGGGCCTGTGGTCTCAGCGAGTGACAGGCACAAAATCTATTCCAAAACACAGCAAGGCACCTCACACACCAGAGCAGGCCGCAGCAGTGCCAACGTTTCCTCCTCGAGGGACGTCCAGACTTGGCGTGGCCGACTGCTCGTCGCCCCGAAAGCCGCTCGCACCCTCCTGCACAGCCACTCTTCGGGCACTCCGCCATGAGCCAAAGCCCACGCCCGGCAGCAGGATGTGGTCACCCATCTCGGCCCCACCGGTGAAGGGCGAAGCCATGCCCACAGCCGCCACCTCTCCGACCTCGGTGTCCTCGGGTGTGAGACCAGAGTTCTACCTCCCTCCAAAAGCACAGCCACGAGGGCGTGACAGTGACAGTCCTAACTGAGGGCAGCCGACCTCACACTACCCGGGCTCGCTCACAGCTAGCCCAGGACGAGCTCCCGCCCCGACACTCCACACAGACTCACACAGCACCCCGGCACCTGTCTCCCTCCAGCCAGTGGCTCCCAGGGTCTTCCATGCTGGAGCACTGCAGAAAACCACTCCTTTAAAAAACTTTTGTTTTAGGTTTGTGCCATAGGGTGTGAGTGCTAGCCGAACAGAGGGAGAGAAGGAAAGTGAGAAATCACCCCCACAGAGGTGGGCTACACCATAATCCCCTCAGTTCTCCTTCTGGGTTTCTGGGCGCACATGCACACACACCTGGCATGAGTCTGAAGCCTCCAGGTCTGGGACTTGAACCACAGTCAGCCATGTGGGAGTCCAGTGCCTTAACCATACCACCACCTGCCAGCCCTGGAATGCCTCTCTCTCTTTTCCTTCCTTCCTTCCTTCCTTCCTTTCTTTCTTTCTTTCTTTCTTTCTTTCTTTCTTTCTTTCTTTCTTTCTCTCTCTCTCTCTCTCTCTCTCTCTCTCTCTCTCTCTCCTTCCTTCCTTCCTTCCCTCCCTTTCCTTCCCCTCCCTCCCTCTTTTCTTTCTTTCCTTCCTTCCTTTCTTTCTTTCTTTCTGAGAGATTTTCACTATACAGCATGTGTGCTTCCCAGAGAGACTGAGAGAGGCAGAAAGCGAAAAATCACCCCCTGGGGTGATACCACAATCCCTTCTCTTCCACTCTCGGGATCTTGGGCACACACATACATACGCCTGGCCTGAGTTTTAAGCTGCAGAGTCTGGGACTAGTGGGGACTGACTACGTGGCAGTCCTACAACATAACCATGATGCCAACTGCTGGCCCCAGGCCACCACTGTTGGATTTTCT